TTTCCTCTCAGACAGTAAGTTATCTTGTCCCACATGTGAAACTTCTTATATGGCTGTTTTCCTGGAAGAAGTCTGGATGGACAGTAGCTTAGCACTTACTCTGCCCTTTAAATTCATATTTTATCAAATAATTATCTGTAAATAAGGTGAAGAAAGTGTGCTTTCACAACTCTAGTTTCCTGACAAACCGCCTGGGCATGAGGCACACTTTCACATGTTCAGAGACCCAAAGAAGTCCCCATGCTAGAAGACTCAATTGGAAGACTATGGACTATTAGATTAGAAAGATTTTTGACTTAGAAATATGCCTTGTTTTTCCTACAAAGCTAAACTATGGGGTGGCACCAGGCTTGTTAAAATTATTCAGCTCTTACATGGTCATCTTTTTGCCTAACCTATGAAAGCATATAAATTATGGAACATGGTATTAGGCCTCTAGGGAAAGGTACTATTCTTCAAAGAAGAAAGGCAAAGTGGGATACTTTGCCAATATCGGGTGAGGAAAACCAGGACATATGTTGGTAGAATTGCCACAGAAGTTTTTATTTTGCAATAATTGGTAGGGTTAGCTTGTGGCCTATCTTTTTTATTGTTTCTTTTACATGCTGATTATCCTTGCCTTTCATATATTTATAGTTGGTCTCCCCTGTGGGGAGAAAGGAGGCACAGGCTGAGAAACGTAGTTTTGAATACCTTTCACACTCCCCTTGTACAAGCCCAGTCAGCACTGCCCGTCTGTGTCAGTGTCACAGTTGCCTGCAGCAGGAGCAACAGAAGGGCAGTATAGCAGCAGCCCCTCAGAAAGGACAGAAATAATTTCCTTATAACATTTAATTCAAGACTTTGATGACTGCCAAAATGGGATTAATCAATTTTCAGCAGCCTACATGAATTACATGTGCCTGGGGACTGACCGGTTTAACCATAGAAACTTACTGGTGCAGAGGGAAGGGCAGAGCTGTAACACGCAGACTCAAACAGGCAGCTCTGGTTGGTTGCAAGTGATGCCATTCCAGGTGCTCAGGCTGCCCAGGGGCAGGTGTAAGGAACATACTCTCAGGATAATGCTGGACCCTGTCAGCATTCCCTTTCAAAGTACGCCCTGAGGAGGGCTTGCCATTGATAGTGCAGCTGGAGAAGGGTCTTCCCTGCCCCAACAGACAGCCCAAGGGTTTGGGCTCTGTGGCACTTGGCCCGCAGACGCACAGGAGAGCCCCAGGCTGTGAGCTGCATGCGACCCTGCTGGCTCCCCTCCCAGAGCAGGGGCTTGTGGTATGCGCTTCGGGAGGCTTCAGGCTGTTTGGCGCTGGAAGCTTGCTAATGCAAAACACAGTCAAACGCTTTCATGTGAGCTCCTGAGGAGAGGCTGCGGCAGCTGTAAAGAATACACACAGCCTTGGGTTTGTTTATGAGGAGAGGGAAAGGGCTGCTGTGGGAAATGTCCACATCACTGTTCCTATGGTGTTCTGTACCTTGTTTATAAGATACTGCCAAGTAGCAAGCACAAACACACTTGTAATGGCGCATCTCGGGAACTGCAGAGCCTCCTTTTGATCTTGCTCAAAACCTAAAAGGGAGAGAGTTGTTTACATTTGTACTACTGTCACTGCTATTCAACTGTTTGAGCCTTTTCTCCCACCCCTTTTATGTTTACTTCCCTCAGCACCGGTGAGTTTCTAGAGCACATTAGAAACATTGTAGGCAGTTTCAATGTTTGAAATTCATGCTTCTATCTTTGGGTGGACATTTTACCACAGAAGCTCTGGGTAGTGTGATCATAGGTGTATTTGTAGAAACCTCTGTCGTCTGTGATTTTCCCTCTTTTAATGGTGTGTTCATAAGTACTATTCCAGATTCAAATACAAAGTATTTCTCTTTGTGTTCATAAAATCTTAGTACATTGTGTGAGCCCGGGAGTGTAAGAGCTGCTGGCTTCTCTATCCATACTTTGTGGAATTAATTTACATTTTCAGATTAGGTTTTTTTCCCCGTAGGTATGTCCTGGACTCCTCTGTAGTAATTATTTTTGATGACTCCACTAACGCCTACTGCTGAAGGCAGAGATGATCTATTTCAGACTCCTTCGCTGAATGAGTTTAGCCAACAATCCACTCATGACTCTGGCAGATGTTTTTGCTTTCTTTCTTTCCTTCAGGCCAGTAAAAACTTTATAAATCTTCCCTCTACCATTCCAGAAATGTGAGAACCTTCCCCCTTGACACCTAAGACATCTCACTGACCTTGTCTGCATAAGGAAGAACACGTTTGCAGATACTGCGGACACTTGAATTCAAATGAACAAACCCCCAATATTTACTCTTGTAAAAGGCTGATTCAGATTAAACTAGGCTCCACAACCTGGGTTTTTCTTAAGAATACTTATTCCTGGTGCTCATCTACCCACAATTCAAAAGCTGTCAAGTTGATTACAAGTCCAAAAGCTTATGTTGATTGCCCCTCTTTATACATTAACATGGTGCCTTCTGTCCTTAGTATACACATTAGTAGCCATGAAGTCAATGGACTATTTCAAATAATCTCAGGAAATGTTAGCCAATGATCTATGGAAAATGCATGAGATTCTGCTCCAAATAAGCCTGTGGCATGTTCATTACAATCTTTCCTTTGTCTCCATTTCAAGATGCTCATTCCTTGGTCTGCTCTCCCATTGAGAAAGACCAGAATGTTCAAAGAATCTACTTCAGATTTCCTTTTCAGGTGTTATTTAAGGCTTTAATGTTTGTTTGGAACTGGACAGCATTGAGATACGTTGATTATTTCCATGGAAAGAGTAAAGTGAACTGATTATTGGAGTCCAGCTCCCTCTAGACTAGTGGACGCATTATGTTTTGGAAATAAGCTTTGCTAAGAAGCCAAAGATTAATTGGGTATGGAGACAAAACTATCCTTTCACTTGGTAATTTATTGGAAAACATCATGGTGTTGTAACCAGAAGTTGTTAGGAGATTTCATGAAGATGAATAATTATGACATGATGAGACATGGCTGAGGAGGAATTTTTGAAACTACTCTAATGAGAATAAATAAAATAGAGATTAGTATTCTAGGAAAAATACATAAGCTCACAAAACTGCAAATGAAGATTGGCATAAGATTTTGGGGTTTTTTTGGTTTTTTTTTTTTTTTAGTTTTTCTGAAGTTGTTGGAGTTTTTCCAAGGTAGTAGCTTAAAGGTTTGGTTCTTTTGTATCATGGTAGCTCTCTGCCAATTGTAGCTTTTTGACAGCCACTAAAAAAGAAAATTCCTGTCAAGGCAACCCTCTCTTTCTGTTGTCTCAGTAGCATTCTTTTTCTTCTGTTCCTCAATGAGTCTACAAGGGTTCTATACAAAATTTGTAATATTTGACTGTAAGAATTTTTGTTGTACTTCTTGGATGTCTTAGCTTCTCACACCTAGCTGGGTATTTTATGCTTTCTGTGCATGCTCTGCAACTGTAAATCCCAAATGCCTGCAACAATCAAAGATTAGTATTAGTGGATCTATGGGATGGATTCACTCAGGTTCTGTCCTTTGTTAACTGAGGGACAGCCATTAGTGTAAAGCTTACAGAAATGAGAACGATGATGAACAATTAGTCCAAAAAAATAATACCCCACAAAAAGTGAAGAATAACTTGGTTAGGACAACTGCAAAGTTTGGTCTTTCCTGCAGTCACAAGAGTAAAACAAAATAAAAATGAAAAATTAATGACCCTTTTATCTTTTTGCCCCCTTAGAAAGAAAAGGTTTATGCTTGTGGCTTTGCTACAGGATTTACTGACGATTCACATACACCAAAGTAATCTCTAGCTGGAGATGTCTGGGATATGACTTTTGGATGGGCTGAGTACTGGACCTCAAGTTTTAATTTGCAATAATTATGGGAAATACCTGCTCCTGAACAGGAGGCAGTCTAAGTCAGGAGCTGCTTTGGAAATCAGCGTCCTTGTCCTAGTAATGATGGAAGTATTAGTAATTCAGGAGACAGCTGGAATGAGGGTGCCATTTGCTTATAAAATGGTGAAAGATGATAATAATCATTACTAATATGCAAAGAGGACTGCAGTGGGATGAGATAGCTGTGTGTGTTTATCACCCTTTAAGCACCTAGTTTATTAATCAAATTGCCATGAGCATTGCATTTAAGCTATCAACCCTCTATTAAGGTTAAGAGAAGACAGACTGGTTATCTCTCATGTCTTGTAAGGCACATTCTTCAGGACAGTATGGGTACTGGGGGAAAACTGGGCAGCTAATAACTTCCAAAACATCTATAAGTCATGATTGCCTTATCTCCTCAGGCTGACCACTTCCACCTGTAGTAGATCACTCCTAAGTAATATGAATTTGAGCAGTTTTATCCCATATTGGAGTAATGGGAGTTTGGCACCTGTGAGACAGAATTGAGGTTTTGATGATGTAAGAGAAACAACAACCTAGCTGTATTCACTGTCTTTGGGGTTTTGAAACAGTTACCTATAGAAAACACGAGTACTCTGAATACAGAGAGCAGGTGTGTAACACGAAAAGATTCTGTTTCTTTGCATTTATTTTGCTGAGAAGAACATCCTTTTAATGATTTAATAATTAGAAACAATGTGTTTACTAACAGTAGTATTAAGACCAAAGCTTAAATAGCTGCTTAGGTTTTAGGCCCAGTGTTTATGAATCTCCTAAGCTTCTACAAGTGTTTTTTGTGTGTGTCTAACATAAGAACCAAGTAATATTCTAACATTAATATTGTTACTGTAATCCTGTATGATTTGTCCATGTTTTACACAGCACTGTTCTCCCTAAGGTTTAGACTTTGGCTAGTGTTGCATTCTCATCAGTGAGGAATGGCTTGTACATCTGGGTTTTACATTGGGAACACAAGCTCTTCTTCATGTGAAACTCATTCAGAAAATTGACCAAACTGTTCTTCAAAAGTGGGACAGTATATTTTTATACCAGTGGAGTGCCAAAGGATTTGAGTTTATACATCCTTGTTTCTGGTTGCAGGAAAAGACATCAATGCAGAGCACATGTGGAGTTCTGCCCGTGCAATGAAGAAAATACTTTGACTACATTGGTTTTTGGTGTAAACTACTGAACTTGCAAACACCAAGTTGTGGGGGAGACAAGCCAAGGTGGTGAAGTCCAAGCAAGATGAGGAAGCATAGATATGGTAAATGCATTATGTTCTTTTAAAGGAAACATGTGGTGTAAAGATATAGGGTCTTGTCCTTTATTTTGGTAAGAATAAGCTTATTTTTTCTGACACAGGTGTCAAATTCACCAGGGAAAACATCCGTAACAGAGCAGAGGTAGGCCAGAGCATTTAACAAAAGCCTGGTTATCTGGTGTTCTGTATGGCAGAAGACCAAATACTGGTCCTCTTGCAGTCAAGCATCAAAACTAGGTTTTTCCAAGGCCCAGGAGTTTATCCCAGGTGTTTTGCTACCATAGTGACAGCCTTATTCACGTGTGTAGAGAGCAGTTTAGTTTAAATTAAGAACTGCTGTTATCAAGCTGTAGTTTTGGAACCAAATGACAGTTATATGAATTAGATGTAACTATTATGAAAAAATATTTCTCAGTGCACTTTCTAGATCCAGGCTAACACTCAACAGGATACTGCAGGCATTGTTGCAATACTAAAGATCACAGTTAATACAGCAGAGTAAACATAAAAGTAAGTTTCAACTTCAGAAAATTATGTTGTCTAAGCATATAGAGTTGAATGAGCAAACCAATAGCAACCAAAATAAAGGTGCAAATTCACATACATATTCCAACTTGGAGTAGAGCAGGTGCTAAATAACACTGTTAGAACAGTCTATTTGTAGCAAAACTATGCCAGGTATCAACCATGCTAGATTTTCCTGTAGTTTCCTGCACAAAGAGACCAACTTTAAAAAGAAAGTGTTTATTTCAACTTATTCTGTATTGTGGGAATAGCCTAAGTTCTTATTTCTTTGTGTGTTGATTCAATGAGTACTGGTGATCTGTGTTCATCTTTTTCTTTAATACTTTTCAGAACAAGTATGTCCTGAACTGGTGGTTTAGAATATTGGTGGCTGGCATTCAGAGTAAATCAAAGAAGCTGGGAAAATTTGGGGGCTACTAGTATCTTTGATATGTTTCTAGCAATGCCTTTTGGATCTTTATTAATGTCCTTCTCAAATGACAACTTGCAGATACAAAGTCTTGAGACTATGTATAGGCTACATTTAAGTTTATCTTCACTGAAAAGCAGTTAGAGAAAATGTGACATGACAAGGTTTTAGTTCCTTCCTGACTCACAACTATGCAGAACACTAGAACTGTTACCCTAAAATGATCAAGTCACCTCATGCTTTTGGCATTGCTCTTTTTCTCCAGTTGCTTGTAACATTGGTTTCAGCATCAATTGTAGTCCTGTCCCTGCTGCATTTTATCACAGTACATGGAAAAATGTCTGGGATAGTTCAAGTATGTGAAAGAAATTCAGTTGGGGCCTGGAGAGAAGGAAGAGAGAAAGAAAATAGTTCAGGTGATCGAAAATACTTGTGGCTTTGAAGTCAGTTTCAAACCAAAAATTTAGTTTTAGTGTAGATTTTATCTTTGTGAATTTGAAAATAGGGATGCTAAACTATTACTAAAGTAACTGTTGTATTTGAGATCATCAAATGTGTATTTGATAATATATTGAGATATTTGATAAGTATATTGAGATCATCAAATAATATATTTGATAAGTATATTGAGATCATAAAATTTAGTTTTGAGATTATAATTTATAGTAATATATTTTAGCATAATGTATTAATTCAAATTTTATTTCCATGTCTAGCTCCCATTAGCTGTATCCTGCAACATCGGCACCAATTTTTAAAGTCTTTGGGAAGTGGAATTTGCACTTATGTCAGCGGCTGTTCAGTTCAGTGCATGCAAGCTACAGGCAGCTGTTTGCATCTCATTTGTTTTTATAAACTGGGAAATTATTTTTTGGAGATGCAGTTTTTGTGAGGCAAATGATCCCTATTGACAGATCTGATTCCATATGAACGTGATTCATAGTGATGTTGCACATGCCACTTCTGGCTTTCCAGTGCACTTCCCAAAATCTGATTTTTAATTCTTGGTTGCGTTTTGACGCAAAGATAGTTATATTTGTTTCAATTTTAAAAGAAACCCAAGGTGTTCATATCCTTGAATGTGTTTACTGCATTAACTGTGAAGTCATTTGATTGCAGTAGTGCTAGGGAGCTTAGTAAAGTACCCAACAAAAAATAAAAGAGTATTTTGGAAGCTCAATAGAGTTTTTTAAGCTCAAAAGCATCTATTTAATTCAAACCACACAGTGTGTGATTGTGATATCATTAGAATAAATATTCCAAATGAGCCATCCCTCACCCTCCATATCAAAGGGCTGACATAATTTCTGCATATTGTATTGATAGTTTCTGGTATTCAGTACAGAGGTCAGACAAGTAAGCTGGGAAAGCAAGCTGCGTTCCAAAACGCCACACCAAGTCACAGCATGAGATTTTTATTTTCTTTGAATATAAGTTCATAACAAGTGAACTTTTAATCTCTTCTGTCCACCTGTGTTTACTGTAGCCAGGGGACTTATTGCTTTCCTACTGCTTTTTCTTTTATTTAAAGACAAAATGAAAGCAGAAGAGAATATGGGAAAACTCCTAATAGGGCAGATTGGGCTATCCCACACAGTGGTAGCTTCCAAGGAGACTGTTGGTCTTTGGCCTGGCTAATTTTATAATGTACTTCCTACTTTAGGGTATGGTTCCTACTGCGTCAGTCTCATACTATAGATGTTGTGGAAAATAGCATTTGCATTGAAGTCAGTGACAGTTGAGTGCACGCACTGCAGAAAATAAACACAAGCATTGCTTTCATTGGCTCTTCCTTCCTCTATTATACACACTAAACTTTTGCTGTTGTTTTTTTCCTCACAGAGATACCATGAATATCACTGGTAATTCTGTCTTCCAGCTCTTTGAAGGCAGGACAGAGAATCAGTATTTTATTTTTATGTTTTTAATAGTGGAAGAATACCAAGTCGCTACTCTGAAACATATTCCACTGTGAAAATAGCCCTGCTGAGAACATAGCATGGCTTTGTTTTGCCATTCCACAGAAAAATCAAGAATCTAATGAGCAAATGGAAAAACATGTTGACAAAAACCTTTTTTCTTATAATACCTTGCACATGTTTATGCCTAAAAACATTTGCACAGAATAGATGTTTTTTTGTTGAGGTATGTCCAAAACCAACCCATTCACAGAACAGTACCTAACAGTTGAGCTAAATGCTGTCTGCTTTTTTTATAGTAGCAGCAGAATGCATCTGACAGTGCCTGTGGTACTGTTTGCAAAGAAATGTATGCAAATTTGGGCTCATACTGTTTGCCAGGTACAGAATGTTTTCTTTATGGTAAGATAAGATAGTTTCAACTTTTATGCAATTTTCATGCAATTTTCTGGCTTATTGGCTGTAGAGATCTTTTGTTGTATTTGGAGGTGTTGCATGTTAAGCCCTGGAGAGGCTTTGCATTATTTCTAGAAGTCCTGCTGAGATATGTGGGTGTATGTAAAGCCATCAGAGACATAAATTAGTGTTATCTCTTTTTGTCTTCTCTGTATTTCTTCACTGATTGAAGAAACAATGGAGGAAAAGAGATTTGGGCATCCCTAGTTTTAGTACTATGTTTCTCAGACCACTGTTATTCATGCGGATTTGTATGTACATGTGTTCATCATTGTGTGTATCAGACACAAAAACTCCAGCTCTCATCTCAGATGAAGACTGTGAGGGAAAGAGGAAAGAGTTGCTGTGTTCAATGTAGAATGAGTTCTTCACTGTTGGAATATTTTCTTTTAGGAAGTGGTAGAAGAAAGCAGAGAAAAGCAGGGGAGAAATAGAAAGTTGGGCTTTAAGTCCGTCAGACAGATTGCCTATTTATCTAAGAGCTCATCTGCTGGAATACTCTCCTGGGATGTGAATTCATGTTTCTCCTCCTACTGAAGGGATTTGAGTCATACCTCCCCAGAGATGCCATCCCCTCTTAATGTTTCAGAGATGAGAGTTCTTCCCAAGCTATAGCTAACTCCTGGGTCCTGCTTGCTTAAACCACCCTGTTGGCATGTGAGCAAGAGGTACCTGATCCTTTGCCCACTTCCTGGGAAGCAGATCTGGAAAGTTTCAGTTGCACTTCCTACTTTGGATAGATAGACCAAAGAATAGTCTAGACTGAAATTCAGACAACTGTGCCATATATATCTGTGACCTGAGCATTTTCTTGAAAGTTAGAAATACATCTCCAAGGTGTCTCAAGCAGAGGAGGGAGCTAGGCTGAGGTTTTCAGTATCTAGGAGGAAGGTTTGCATCCTCAGATCAGTTAATGTGCAGTAGCCTGCTACTGTAATATTCCCTGGCTGGTTTGCATCCAGGTAAGTGTCAAATGGGAGACCTGGAATGCAAATCTAGAACAGTTTATTCCTGCATGCCTTTACCACGTGAAATCATTTATTTGTTCTAGTATCTCTACACAACCTATAATTTAACAAAGCATGTGGGTTTATAATTATCTTTGAGACTTTTAGCCTATGTTCTTCTTCAAATTAGATGCTTTTATAGACCCCAAAATGTTTGGCAATGGGAAATATGATTATTTAAGCCTAGGTTTCTGAGAAAACCAAGAAACTTTACTTCATCCTCTCCTACTTTTGTTGCTATATTGAAACATATATTCAGTTGGTTTTACAGTCCATGGAATAAAGAAAAAAAAAATTCTTTCTTAAGTTTAGATGATTTCTGAAAGTTGCTCATGTAGAATTTGAACTCCTGAGTACAATCCCAAGATGTTTATTTCAGTGCAGCAAATGATTCCTTAGGTTTGTTTCAATCTTCTTGTTTTGGCAGGTTTCCAACAAATGTATGACACTCAGGTATGTCATTTTTAGATTGAACCTTGTGTGGCAGACTCTCCACCATCCCACAGAAACTGGCCCAGCATATGTGGGAGAACTTAGTATTAATTTCCTCATTATTCGTTCTGTCTTCTGAATTCGTTTCTGTATTTCAGTGCAATCTATTTTTCATTGGCTCTTCTCTCTTTAGTAAGCATAAAGGATAACATGAAAACGTCAAACTGAACTTTTGATATTTATTTTTTTCGTGAGGTCAAAATTAGGCAAAATGAATTTGCTTGTCCTTAACCAAAAACATCTTTTTAATACCTACATTAATAGCACTGGGTCAGAAAATAGGCTGGAGAGGGTTTTCATCTGTAGAATGCATTATCGAGTGAAAGAAGCACAGTGAAATACGGAAATAAACAGAGAAGCAAGAGAAGTTTCTTGTCATTTTGTTTTTGGTAACTAGAATTGGCAGAGCCCAGAAAGGCCATAAAGACTCTGTTGTGTGTTTCAATGAAGTTTTAGAGCCAGATAGTTACAAGACAAATTCATTCTCTATATACAGACTGTGGAACAACGAACATAACATTCAATTAATCAGATATGACTGAAATGTCAAGACCCTCATAAAGAAATCATTCACTCCTCTGGGTTATTGCATCAAGAGTTTTGTAGGTTTTTTTTATTCCAATAAATACAGGCCATGGAAGGAATTGACTTATTTATAGTTACCTTCTTATTTCATAGGGATAGTGCTCACCATCCCTCCCATATGGCTGCGGAACTCCTTAGCTAGGAAATACATGGAAATTATATGACCTGGGTCATCATAGTTGCTGCTAAAAAGAAGAAACCTGAAAGGGCCGGATCCAAAACAAGATCCAAACCCAGTTCTTGTGCCCTGCAGTCTCGTGTAATACATTACTGTTATTTCTTTTGAATGTAATGTTGATATCCATTTAAGCACAGATGTTGTCACTGTAAACTCATAAAACCACCAGCTTAACAAATCCCACACTACTTGACAATCCCATTAGCCTGTCTCACACAATGGCCAGTATCAACAGTTTAGGGAAAAAGCTTAAGAAACAGAGTAATGATCCATTCCTCTTTCCTCTCTTCTAGTGATCAGTGCTGCAGTCATTTCCTCCACTTGATATTACACTAGGGCCATTGTTTAGTTATCCTTGATAGACCTTTCTGCCACTGACTTGCCTAATCCCATTTTGAACCTGTTAATACTTTTTGCATCCAAACTTAATTTAGCGGTGAGTCATACAGCTCAATTTCTTGTGTGGAAAACATCCCTTTGTTTTAATCTGTTTTTAAACCTGCCATTGGGTAAATTAATTTGTTTATATGGTGAGAAATAATGAACAATTGTTCCTTATTCATCTTCTCTGTCCTAGTTATGATTTTATAAACCTTCTCTCCCTGCCACACGCACAACCCATCCAGAGCTGAAGAAAGCCAGCCTGTTTTGCCTTTGTATGGGCAGATGGCTGAGCCATACCTAGTGTCATCCTTGTCCCCCTTCAGCATACTTCTAGTTTTACTGTATCCTTTTAGAGGGAGAGTAATCAGAATTATACCAGCACACTTGTCAGATGTGAAAAATATGCAAGGACTCCAAGACCTAAAATAATAGGTTTTGAGACTTCTCTATAGATTGAGTGAGTAACTAATTTGAGAGTTTGGATAGTTTATCTGGAGTAGAAATGAGTGGGTTTCTTCTTCTCTCTTTCTAAGTGTGTTCAAGCTGCTTTGCATTTGGACTATGCAAACTAGAGCTTGCTCCAGAATAGGAATGTCCACTCTTGTAGGCAAGCTGAAGCAGCCGGCCATTTAAATATTTTTCCTTATTCTATTATATATCCATTTTCATCCATCAGCAAACCCTCAGTCTTAAACCTTTCTGCATTTTTTTCCACAGGAACAGTGTGTAGATTAATTACTGCACATTTTGGGTTGAAAATAGTGCCAGAATTCAGTTACTCTCAACGCAGTTGCTCCTTGTCCACACATTGTGCATATTATAATTTTTCATTCCTCTGGGATACACTTCTCATATGGGCTGCACGTGTTTCATAAATTAAAATGTGTTGGAGGTTCTCCTTATTGTGGGATATTTGTGTGGTCTGCAAACCACAAACACAAGTAGGACTTCGGAAGGCTTCAGTAGAACACAGTCTGCTCTAGCAGAGTAGATGCAACTCCACTTAGATGTCAATGGACATCTAAGTAAGGTACCTAAGTTGATAATAACTCTGGGTGTACTATTTAGGCAGTTAAGATGTGAATTGCCTTCTAGAGTAGCCTCACTTTGTTGAAGCATGACTATTCTTCATAGTTTTAACTCAGTAGCAGACAACCATTGTCCATTCAGTCCTATACACATCTGTAACAAAGCATAAATAAGGAAAACGGCAAACCCCACAGGTCTTTCTAGCAATTGAAAATTATGAGAAAACACTGCATCAGTGAAATCAAAATTGTCATTGAACCAAATCTCTTTGTTAAACCCAATATCTGGTGTGCAGACCTGAAGGTTACTTGAATGGTTTCTTCTGCAGCCTTGATGATTTGACTTTTGACTGGAAAGAGTTACAGATACTAAAATCTGGCAGAGCTCTTACTAGGTCCAAGTTGTTGCAAAAATGGAAGAGGTCTAGTGGACAATAAGACAGGAGGGTTTCAAGGAACCTGGACTTGAGTTCTGATATTGCTGTCAACTTGTAGTATAGATGTGGTTATTTTTTATTTTTTTGCAGTATTCAGAAGAGTCCAGACGTCAAGTGTGTAGCAGGGCAGGGAACAAGAGAAGCCAGGGAAGGTGAGACGTTCTGTTTGTCGGCCACCATAGGGCACCAGTTTTGCTTGGTTGCCCATGGAACCACAGCTGAATGAAGTATTAAATCATATAAAATTATGTCTAATAAAATATTCATGTTCTATGGTTCTTATTCTATAAATTAGTGTTCTATGATTCTATGTCTCGTGGAACTGGAGCCTAGAAGCTTCTAAAGCTCTAGGCTGGCTCAATTTCTGCCTCGATCCTTGCAGTCTGTCCCCTTACTGCTTTTACTAGAGGCTTTACTTCAAATATTCTGTCCCCGATATATCTCTATTATCAGTGACACAGAGCAATAAATATATTTCACTAATGGAGTGATGACTGTCTTCTGTAGGGAGGGAGAAGTGATTTTTGGTATTCTAGGATACTGATCTTCATTTTACCAACAGACTTTGTTTTGCATGTGACAAAGTTGAGCTAATGGTTGGGTTAAAGTTTACTACTGGGGATGTCAATTTTGAGGCTACAAGAGGAAAGGTCTTAAGATTTCTTTTCATCATGATCTCTGTTGAAAATGTTTGAGCATGACTATGAATAATTACCATTCCATAATGCAATGAAATCTTCCAACAAATACAAAAAGCTGTCTGCAGTACTGACACCATACAGATCTGTTTGCTTGTTTGCTTTTCTTGGTAAACCAGGAGTTTTGTTACAATAGGATGCATATTTTGGCTTTTGGAATACAGCAAGGAGCACAGGAAGTGATATGTGCTGACAAAAGCATTCTGAAGTTTTGTTAAGAGGAAACAATTTCAGAGTCTCCACTAGGAAAATTCCACTCGTCTTGATACATGGTATTTTAACTATTATTTAAAAAGAATTACTTAAATGTCATCAAGACAATGAATGTTTTCTTTTAGAATAACTTCATAATTCTTATATTCAGCCCTTGCTTGCACACAAAATTACCTGGATTTCACTGAATTAAAACCACTTCTGTAAATGTTCCTGAAAAAAATCTACTGTATTTAACTTCGCTGTTGAGTTCTGTGTTCTTTCAACAGACAACACTTCTTCCACTATGTAACAGAAACAATGCTATTAACTGAAGCTTCAAAGGGATGATAATGATTTCCAAAGCATATAATGGGGATCCCTCCTTGTAGCATCTTCTAATAAGGAGAGGGTCTTTCTCAAACAGGCTTAATGTAAATTTCTTGCTAATCTGTTTTTTCTTGACACAATTTAAAGATGAAGGACAAAGCACTGCCAAACACAGTGGAACAGAAGCTTCACTCTCATGGGTGAGCGTTAGTCAGGAAGGCTGTCTCAGGGCTGGGATTTCCCATCCATGCTGCATACACTTGGCTGGGCCACTGACCATTGTTTCAAGTGGTATGCTGTGCTGGCTCCCACACAAGGTGATTTTTTTTTCTATGTCCCATTTACAGTACATACTCTTCTCAGAGTATCTGGGGTACTGGGCCATTGTGGCTTCCATGAATACAAGGGAAATTCCTGGCATATGCCAGGAACAAGAAAGTTAAAATGCCCTCATTGAAAATGGGACTAAACCCTTGTTGTAGGCATGTGAACTGTGAACCTGAGAGTCAGAATTACCACCTCACTTACCTCGTACTGTGGGAAAAAATAACAGTGTTTTGGTCTTCTGCATGGTCTTTTCTTTAGGACAGTATATATCTCATGAAGTTTTGTCATTATACTGTAAAAGTATGGAGTGATCTGTTTAACTTGATCAGTGAGTATAGTGTCTGATATGGAGCCATTAGTGCTTAGTTTTCCTTGTTTCCAAGTGTCTAATCTATCAAGGAGGCTGTATCAATCAAGGTACCCCCTTCTAACATTAGCTTTTAACAAAATAAAGAAAATAAATAAAAAAAAAGAAAAAAAATGAGGAAAGCATCAAATGGTTTGAGGCTGGGGTTTATAGGGGAAAGAGTTATAAGAGCATTAACTTTATTTAGCCAATCTGCTCCTGTTAGAGCACTGGGTTTGTC